ATCCACAGACTTGGGGCCAATTTGGTTTATATGATTAGCAAGACGGCTGGCTCTACCAGGTTCAGCTCAGGAACTGTGCAAGAAATGCAAGCCAGCAGCCTTACATTGCAAAACCTAATACCTATTTAGCCCTGAAGGTGAGTGGATAAAAACTGTTACCAATTTATCCCACAAAATGCCTGAACCCAAAGTAAAAATCCATGTGAAAGTAGATTTTAAATTCAAACGGAATTTTGCAGCAAATAAAAGACACACATAATAAAAATCCAAGAAATTTAAAAGGAACCCATAAAACTCTTTATCGTTATCTAAACATTATTATATGAGGATAAGCTGTCTTTGGCATCTGTCCTCCCCATTGACTGTCATATGGCTGAACACAATGTCATCTCTACATTTTGGGGAGCATTCTATGCAAAGATTATTTTAAAAGATACTGGATTTTTGACAAGAGGAAGTAGTAAATGATTCCCCAGAAGAGGCATGATAGGAAGAAGAAAAAGTGCTTTTGAGCATCTCTCACCCCACCACTCTCCTTTCTCGTATGTGGGAAACATAAGTCAAAAGGGAAGGAGCTTTGAAGAGAAGAATCAAAGACAGAGTAAGAAGCGGCAGATCGTGTTATTTTGTGAAAGTGGATGAGCTTCATTTTTGGAGATTTATAGACCATTTCTCAAAGTGTTGTATAAGGTCTTACATATCCCTATATATATAAATGTGTTTATGCACCTGCGCACACACACTCACACATTCACTACCAAACTACCATTAGATATTGAGAATATTACACCAAGTGCCACTTGGAACTATTATCTCAAGAGCAAGAAATGTTGAAAAATAGTTTGGTTTTCATTTTACCTGGTAAGAAAAATTGTTATCAAGGAATTTCAGACCCTCTATTTTTATTGGGTAGAAGAGTAGAAAATAGAGATCATGTTCCTAAGAATTCTATGGTTCAATAATAAATTCCTCATAAACACTTAACATATGCTAGTCACTATGGAAAAATGGAAAGTATATCATTTTAGTATTCCTAAAGCCATCAGCAAATAGATTATCTCTTTTCTAGAAATGTTATATTTCTTTATGTGTTTCCAATTAAGAGTTATTCATAGAACAAATTACTTTATCAGAGAAACCTGAACATGAATAGTTAAATTAACACTCTGATTCAAAAAAAGATAATAACATAATCACGGATTTTATTTCAACAATTTTAAAGTTGAGGTTAAGAAAGTCTCCCAGACTTATTCTCTAAAATAAAGATAGAGGAAAAAGTCAGGCCCAGGTATAGATCACCAAGCTAGTGAATACTTCTTAATAATACTCTAATGTACTACAAAGTTCCACCTATAATGAGCACCCAGAAAAAAAAAAACTTTGCAAATTTCAAACCCAACCTAAATTCTTTCTTTCTCTTTCTGTAAACACACATATGTGCAAACACTCACATGCAGTTCTAAAGGATCCCCTTCAGTTTATCTCTGCCATTGAGATATCTCTAAAAATCAAACTCGTGATAAATTAAGCACCTGAATTCTTGGAAACATCAGTTAGTCTTTACCAAAACAGATAACGTGTATTCTTTATCAAATAACATCATCCTGGAACATTAAATTCTTTTAAAAGCAAAATACTATGTAAATAAAGTTATCAAGGGAAGAGCTGCCCCTTGCTAGAACAGATTTAGTAGAATCAAAAGCAGAAAAGAGGCCAGATTGCAGTCATAAAATTTCAGAGATGAAACAAGTCTAGGAAATAATATCCTTGTTGTAACAGAAATGAATACCTTAAACTTCTTATTCTAATACATGTGTGTTTGTTTTCTCAAATAGGTTTTACGGCAAGAGACACACATGATGATAAAACACTTTGGCATTTAATTTAAGTATAAAACGTATTGAGAAAATAACTATAAAACTGCAAGATTTTGTCCATGGCAAATTGGACAGCCTTGTCTTCTATCCTTGGCAGATCTTTCTCTCTGTATGCACAAATCCTGTTTTATGCCTTTTGATGCTTCACTTGTTTACCTCTGAGATTTGATTTATATTGCAGAAAATGCATTCATGGCAAAATTTCCCTGTGAAAAATATATTATTTTTGTAACTACTGATATCCTTTACTTTTTGAACTCCACTATACACATTATACCATTCCACCATAGGCAGAAAAGGATTATATATCATATTAGAACCACTGTTCACGATTATACAAATGCAGGCATAAAATTTTAATATATTACGGGCTTCTTTTAGTACTAAATAGAATTGTGATCCTAGAAAGTTGTAATAACATAAAATTTCAAATTCCCTGGAAATAGTAAATTACGTGAACTATAAACTCATTTAAAAGTTGACTGGTGGTAATGGCTTAGTAAGATCTTACCAGACCAATTCCTCACTCAGATAACAAAAAATAAACCCTGGACATAATAAAGAAAGGCAGATAATTGAAGGCATTGAAAAGAGAACAGAAGCATGCCTGAAAATGGTTGCCGTCATTTTCACTCACATCCCTTTCCCCAGAACTCAACCACGTGACTGCAGCTTATCTGAAAGCAAGACTTAGAAACGTAGTTTTTTCTTTTTTCTGAGTGCCCAGAAAGAGGAAATTGGCTGACCAGCATCTAGCAAGTCTCTGTCACAAACAGATCACCCACAGTACCAAAATTTAGCTGGATAATAGGTACTTCTTACATGTACTTTCCGCTCCTCCCTAACAGATCAAAATAATCAATTTCCTCTAATTTCCACTCAGTTTCACCTCTTCCAAACTTGAAGGACTGAAAGCTTTTAGCACTTTCATCAACAACCCCCAACTAGTTTCTTCTTCATTTGTTACTCACAATGTTTACTCATTCAGCTAGTTTAAGGAAACAGCTATACATACAAACCAAGACATAGGTGAAAGAATGTAAATTTTAAAAATACAAAAATCTCAACAATTTAGCTGAATTTGTTATTGTTCTCTTGGAAAGCTAAGAGGATTCCAGCAGATAGCATCCTTTCTCCTTACGGAAATTCAGAATCGTTGAGAAATAAAAGTGAGACAGTAGGAAAGCCAAAATATCATTATTACTGATAAAGTAGAAACTCAAAAATATAACTTACTTACACAAGCAAGTGAATTTTCCAGTTGTGAACCCTATAATTCAACATATCTTATCTCCACAGCAAGTAATATGCAGGGCTATGTCATCTCCTCACCTGGGTGGGGAGTGTTGCCCATTAAATTCTAGGGCATGGAGGAGCAAAGAAAAATATACATTTCCTGTGGGAGTGTAGCTTTCTGCAGAAGGAAGGAGATAGAGCCTGGGTTTTGATTGCTCAATTCCTTCCTCAACCATAAGTCACCCCTCCCAGAGAGAAGTGACTGAGAATGGACAGCAGTCTGGTGTGTTAAATGACTGGAGATTCTTCCATATGACAAGAGATATAGGCACTGGTAAGAAACCATCCCTCAACAGAGAAAAAAGGAAATATGCTTTTAAAAAATAATAGATATAATGTACAAATTAGAAAATAAAGTTTTTTTTAGGTTATTTAAACCATTCTGAGTTTACTGACATCGGTATAATCTTTCTAACACACTAGAATAAACATTCAATGTTCTTATAGTTTTGGTTTCATGTTCACTAAATTGGGATCTTCTTCAAAACACAGATAATATGTAAATCACTCAGGATTTTTACCTTGTAAATTAATACAACACATTTGAAGATAAATTTAAGATTCTATGATCGTTTCTATGCCATGAACTATCTCTTCATGAACTTTTTATCATGTAGAAATAACACTAAAAAGAAGAAAAATTTCACGTATTTTTTTTATAATTCTAAACACTTTGGACATAATAAATATTTTCATGCATGTTGAGTTGATCATACACCGGCTACACTTAATATTTTAATCTTTATTTGACCATAAGCTATATGAGTTGTTCACAAGTTATAAAAATGTTTATTTGTGACTACTTTTGGATTTCACCTTTAAATCTCAAAAAGAAAAGTCAATAAAACTAACTTGCAAGTACGAGAATCACTGTACATAAAAATGTTTACACGGCTACATAAAATATTCAATGACAATTTGGAATCATTCAACAAAAGGTTGAATACTATGATCGAGAAGAAGGTTGAGTGATACTTCTAAATAAAACTAGTGACACAAGGGACCTTTAAAATCTCTCAGCAGAGCATATCTAATCTGTTTCTTTTATACAGGGAATCTAAAAATTCTTATGAAATACACTGAAATGTTTATGAGCCATAAAATCAATAGAGCATTTAAAGGTTAGGGTACTAAAAGAACTAAAGAAGACAACCTCAGCATTTAAAAAATATTTATTCTAAAGGTGTCTAGGAGACTGAAGTTCCGTAGGATTCATTATAACGATGCATTGCGATGCTGGTGGTCTTGGGAAGTAAAGCACAAAAGGCACATAACTAAGATTGGATCCACTTTCTTCAAAGAATTTGAACATATATCTTTTTTTTTTTATTGAGGTAACATTGGTTTATAACATTATATAAATATTAGGCATACATCATCATATTTCAATTTCTGTGTAGATTACATCATGTTAACCACCCACAGACTAATTACAATCCATCACCACACACATGTGCCTAATCACCCCTTTCACCCTCCTCCCTCCCGCCTTCCCCTCTGGTCAACACTAATCCAGTCTCTGTCTCTATGTGTTTGTTTGTTGTTGTTTTTATCTTCTACTTATGAGTGAGATTGTACAGCATTTGACTTTCTCCCTCCGACTTATTTCGCTTAGCATAATAGCCTCAAGGTCCATCCCTGTTGTCATAAATGGTCAGATTTCATCGTTTCTTATGGCTGAGGAGTATTCCATTGTGTATATATACCACATCTTCTTTATCCATTCGTCCTTTGGTGGGCACCTAGGTTGCTTCCAAGTCTTAACTATTGTGAATAATGCTGCAATAAACATAGGGATGCATATATCTTTACGCATTCATGTTTTCATGTTCTTTGGATAAATTCCCAGCAGTGGAATAGCTAGATTGTATGGTAGCTCTATTCTTAACTTTCGTGTGTTTGTGTGTGTGTGTGTGTGTGTGTGTGTGTGTGTGTGTGTGAGAGAGGAAGATTAGCCCTGAGCTAACATCCGTTGCCAATCCTCCTCTTTTGCTGAGGAAGACCAGCCCTGGGCCAACATCCGTGTCCATCTTCCTCCACTTTATATGGGATGCTGCCACAGCATGGCGCAACCAGCTGTGCATCGGTCCGTGCCCAGGATCTGAACCCGTGAACTCTGGGCCACTGAAGTGGAGCGTGTGAACTTAACTGCCATGCCACTGGGCCGGCCCCCTCTATTCTCAACTTTTTGAGGAATCTCCATACTGTTTTCCATAGTGGTTGCACCAGTTTGCACTCCCACCAGCAGTGTATGAGAATTTTCTTTTCTCTACATCCTCTCCAACACTTATTACTCCTGTCTTGTTAATTACAGCCATTCTGACGGGCATGAGGTAAAGTTGCAGGATACAAAATCAACATACAAAAATCAGTTGCATTTCTATATACTAACAACAAAGCAGCAGAAAGAGAAATTAAGAATACAATCCCATTTACAACGGCAACAAAAAGAATAAAATACGTAGGAATAAACTTAACCAAAGAGGTGAAGGACCTGTATACTGAAAACTATAAAACATTGTTGAAAGAAATAGAAGACATAAAGAAGTAGAAAGATAGTCCCTGCTCTTGGATTGGAAGAATTAACATAGTTAAAATGTCCATACTTGCTTCTTTTTTGTTATTCAGAGATTGCAGTTTTTCCCCCAGGGGAAGAAGAGCACGTTTCAAGCAGAACAGAGTAGACCTGAGTAGACTTAAAGCCCGGATCCCTAAATCTTAGCTGGATATAAGGAGCCTGAAGTTTGCTCCTGAACAAATTCTTCCACATATCTTTAATTTTCAGTCTCTGGAGAGCCAAGTATAATTATTGAAATCAGGGATCCAAAATCTGTAACAGTGGGTATAGGGGTTGGCATCAAGAGCAGGTGGACTAACAAAATACAGAAATTGTATGGCCTGAAGGTCTTCATATCTCCTCAAAAAGAGATGATCTGATTAAAAACTAAGGTGTCAAAGAACAAAATTTGAGAGTATGTTCTTGTTATCTTCAACATCTCTACTAGATTATTATTGATTCTGAACAACAAATCAATTCAAAGAGAATAATACATATATTTACATAATACAGAAGGAGAAATGTCTCTATGCCTTTTTCAAAAGAAAGCTGAGTCTCTCTCATAAACCTAAAATCACACTCTAAAATCATGAGATTCTTTCTAATCAATCAACTCCATATTCAAAGGAACAGAAAAAAATAAAGCCTAAAAAAAGAAAGGCGCCCTTCACAACTGGTTTGTGGTTTTCGTATTCAAGAGGTATATATTCAATGTCATGTCATTGATTATTCTCAATCAACATTTCTGACTTAGAAGTAAAAGTTATATTTTTAATTTATTTCAACATTTATTGTGACCTTACTAAATTCCAGATGCTGTAGTAGGCTCTGTGGATACAAATATTAATACTATTCAATCTTTATTATTGAAGAGCTGATTTTAAACATATAATTGGTAATACAATGTGGTAAATGTGATAAGAAGAATTAGCAAAGTACCAAGGGAAAAGAGAACGAAAAATTAGCTAGAGTTACTTGGAGATAGGCTCATAAGTAAAACGCCATTTAGGCTACATTTTCTAGAAGAGTGACCAATTGGTGTCTTCATTAGACAAGTTTTATTCTAAAAGAATGTGTCAAATTCTCTTAAATATGTAACATGGAAAAATAATTAGCTTTTCATAATCAAGAGGATTTATTTTTTAAAAGCCAAAAGAAAAAATAGAGTAACATAGAACCACAAGCATCAAAATGTAGAATCCTGAAAGTTTAATAAGTAAATAAAGTTTTAAAATTAATTACTGATTGGCATGGGGAGACAGATTCTGCTTTCACAAATGGCAGATTGGATAATTTGACCCAATCCTCCTATTGGATTCAATACTTATAAAATCTTAAAAGCAACAAAGGACTAACGAAGGAAAGAAGAATTACTAGGCCAACATCCAAGAGACGAGTGAAATCTGGAGAGGTAAGTCTAGCATCTGGGCTTGCTTTTGCCCTTGGGGCATCTGCCAACATAGAAGAAACAGCAAAGGGACCATGTAGCACGCTGATTGCCTCTCGAGCTACAGAGACAAAATGTGGAGTCAAGGTGGGTAAAGGGTGAAAGGAATAAGGGCATGCCAAGAGAAAGCAGCCCCCAAAGCGCAGCAGCCAGACTGCTAGTCATCTGAGTAGTCCAGAAATATCTCAGGTCTGTAATATGACTAATGTGATTTTTGAATCTCTAGCACACTGGGCACCTGACAAAGCAAAAGAATATCTTCTTTGGACTAAGATATCATCATCCTAGAAAAATAATTATTTCTTCAAGTAATTTTTTAATCACAATGTCCAGCAACAAAGAAAATCATGTACACAGATAAAGATAACACAATACAAACAAAACACAAACAACAAAAAGCAGGCACAGACTCAAGAAGTACAGAAGTGAAAATTATCAGAAATAGACTGACATCCAATATCTATGGAGATAAAATCTGAAACTAAAAAATCCAGACACTAATTGGTAACATTTAAAGACGTGCAAAAGAAGACTCCGAATATAAACATTCAATAAAGAAACTAGAAACTAAACAGGCAGACATAACTGCAGATAAAGCATAGCTAAATTAAGAATTAATGAACTTGGAGGTTCTATAGAAGGAAATACGAAGAAAAAAATATATGAGTGTATAAGAGATATAGAATGCAGAAGGAAAGATCTAATACTAATTTAATTGGAGTGCCAAAAGGAGAGAACAGAGGAAATAGAGTAAAAGCAAAAAATTAGGAAACAATAGCTAAGCTAAAACTGATGCTAAAACTGATGAAAGACATCAACCCACACATTCAATATTCCAAGCAATCCCAAGAAAGATAAATAAAAACAAATTCACGTCTGATGACTTCAACATGAAATAGCAAAAATTAAAGAAAAAGAGAATTTATTATAAGTAGTTATAGGAAAGAAGAAATTTACTGAAAGGGAACATGAAACAGACTGATAGACAAGTTGTCAATAACAATTTGCAAGGCAGAAGACAGCTGAATAACATCTTCGAATATGTAAAGAAAATAATCGGCAACCTAAAATTCTACACCAAATAAAAGTACCTTTCAAAAATGAAAGTGAAATATAGACCAATCGGTCAAAACCAAACTGAGAGAATTTGCTACCAACAAACTCAAGCAACTGAAATATTAAAAAGAGTTCTTCAGCAGAAGAAAAATGATCTCAGAGGAAAGCGAAAACATGAAAAGAGAAAGTAGAGCAATGGAAATAATAGCTACATGGGGAAATCTGAATGACTTATCACCCTTATAAAACAATAACAAGATTTTATTGGGGATTTTATGCATGTCTAAATATAAATATATAGAGACATACATACACACATGTAGCCAGCCCTGGTTGTCTAGTGGTTAAGATCCAGCCCTCGCACCACCACGGCCCAGGCTCATTTCCCAGTCAGGAAACCACACCACCCGTCTGTCAGTTGTCACACTGTGGCAGCTGCGTGTTGCTGTGATGCTGAAAGCTCTGCCACCAGGATTTCAAACATCAGGAGGGTCTCCCATGGTGGACAGGGTTCAGTGGAGTTTCCAGACTAAGACAGAGTAGGAAGAAGGACCTGGGCATCCACTTCCGGAAAAATTGGCCATGAAAACCCTATAAATAGCAGCAGGGCATCGTCTGATACAGCAGCAGAAGGTGGAGGATGGCGCACAAAGACTGGGCAGGGTTCTGCTCTGCTGTCCACAGGGTCACTAGGAGTGGGAATCCACGCAACGGCCCTAACAACAAACATACACGTATGTAAACACAATATATATATATACATACCTACACAAACACACATGTAAACATACACATACGCATATTTATGTACACACACATGCACACACATACATGAATAAAACATACAATAAAAGTGGCATATAAGTCCAGAGGGATAAATGGAATTTAAATGCTCTAAAGCACTTGCGTTCATCAGGAGAGGAGTGGAATTAGCAATTAACATTAGACTATTATCATCCAACACTGAAAATTATATATTGTAATTTCTAGCGCAATGGATGAAAAAAATAGCATAAGAATATATAGCTTCACAAAATAGTAAAAATGGAATAATAAAATAATCAATAAAAAAGAATGCAAGAAAAAATATAGTGACATCAAACAAATAAGACATAGAAAGCACTTAGACCATGCTGGATGTAAAAGCAAATATATCAGGGATTATTTTGAATGGAAATGAAATTAAAGCTCCAATTTAAATAAAAAGACTGTGGGATTAGAAAGAAATATTTAATTGTTGTTTATAAAAAAACATATAAATTAAGGAAACAGGACAGTGGAAATAAAGGGATGTATAAAGATATACTGTGCATACACTAAAAGAAAAGACAGCTGAAATGGCAATATTAATATCAAAAAGGCACAACAAAAAAACCAGATTAAAAGAGGATCATTTCATTGTGATGAAAGGTTTAATTTATCAGGAAGATATAAAACTTCTAAATTAATAAACACTTAATTGCATGGTCTCAACATATACAAAGCAAAAACTGATAGTGCTACACATAAGAGAACACTGAAAAATCCATCATCACACTTGGAGTTAAACTTGATTTTCTCAATAATTCACAGATCAATCAGAAAAAAAGGGAATCAGTACTTTGAGCAAAATAATTAAAAACTTAAATTTATGGATATATAGACCATTAATTTTAATTGATGTTGTTAATAGTATTCTATTCAAGCCCACGCAATGAAAGCTCAAAAATTTACAAAACTGACCCTTTACTGGGCCAAAAACTCATTTTTACAAATTTTAACAAATAGAAATAACATATGGTTTGCAGTCTATTACTATAATACAAATAAGTTAGAAACAAGTAACAAAATAATAAAATAAAATAACTAGAAACTCCTGCATATTTGGAAATTAAGAAACATAGTTTATAAGCCATTGACCAAAGATATCACAATGGAAATTAGAAAATTTAAACTGTTATTCAGTTATTATTAAACTGAATAACAAAAAATGCAAAAATTTGAAATTGTGTGAGAGGTAGTAGAAATGGATTGGGTGCACTTCTCATAGCATTAGTATTTTGCAAGTCTGCGTGGGATATAGGGTGTATGCATAAGTGTGCACGCTTTTGTGTGTGTGTGTGTGTGTGAAGGGTGTGAGTATGCAAGTGAATCATTTTGCAACATGGCACCATCCTATGGATTTCAGTAGTTATTTGCACACACACACGTTTCTCCTTACATGCTGACTTTAGAATTTATCCCTACGTAATATGTAGACGGGTGTCAGTCCAATCCATC